TGGCCGCAGGCCCCTCATGGCCAGCAGCCCCCAGAGGCAGCACAGAGGGGCGAGGGGCAGAGTGGGGACCCTGCCATGGGTGGGAGGCAGAGCCCTGTCCTCCTGCCAGCCCTGGCCCCGGCAGCCCCTGGTGTGTCCCCCACAGTGCCCCCGTGGGAGTCAGCAGCCTCTGCAACCCCTCTCCAAAGGGTGACATCCCTGTTGTCCCCAGCACTGGGCTGTCAGTGGCCAGTGTGGTGGCTGGGTGGGTCCCTGGGCTCCTATTACCCAGCGGGACAGTGGCACCCGGGCCCTCCCCAGCCCACAGCTCGGGGGACGAGGAGCTGTGTGAGCCCCTCTGGCTCTCCACAAGGACTGTCCCCATGGACCTCCATCCCATCAGGGTGTTGGGGGATCCCCTCTGTCCCCCAGCAGAACCCGGCACTGCCATGGAGGGCGGTGAATGCAAAGGGGTCCCCTGCACGGTCTTTACACCTTCCACTGTCACATGTCCTACAGGGTCAGTCCCGAGGGGGTCCGTGGTGGCAGGATCTGTGTTTGGCTGCACAGGGGCTGGGGCTCCTGCACTGGTCACCCCCAGCTCGCTTCCTGCAGCTGCCTGCTCGGTGGTGCCTGCAGACACGGGAGGCCCCGGGTGCTCAGTGGCTGTTCCACCCCACACCGCTGACCCTGTTCCCTCCCCGCCCGTCTGGTGGCCTCTAGGGCTCCCCTGGGGGCCGGAGGGCTCGGCTGTCCTGGCAGGAGTCCCAGGGAAGGGCAGCAGCTCAGCCTCTGTCCACAGCTGCCCCAAGGTCTCCAGTGTTGGCGCCTGCCCCGTGCCAGCTCCTCGCTCTGGGTGATCTGGGGGCAGGGGCAGAGTTGGGGGGCACTGAGCAGGGCTAACCCATGGTCAGCACCCCACAATTGCCAGAGCGGCACCCTTGGCCCCATCGTGCCACCCACACACGTGGCTGGCACGCAGTGCCACAAAGGGCCGCGAGTGGGACGGTCCCAGCCCCGGGGGTACCTGTCCGGCAGCGCTCCCCCGCCGCGGTCCCCAGGTGGGCGCAGGGGTCGGCAGTGCCCGGCGTGGAGCCCGTCCCGCTGCCCAGAGCGGGGCAGAGCCGCGCGCAGCATTCCACGAGCACTGAGAGGGGAGGGAGCAGCGCCCATCGGTCCGAGCACCAAGAACCGGGCATCCCGCACCAGCACCGGCTACGGGGCGCGGCACCCCCGGAGCCGCCGGCGAGGGTGGGGGGCTCGCTTTCTCCCCTCCGTAAACCGCGGGCAGCTCTGCCGAAGGAGACGCTCCGGAACAACCCAAACCCAGCTGGGAACCACCTGCCCTGGTCCCAACGAACGGTGCCAAGT